GCGTCCCGCCGCCACTTCCCCGCCTCGCGGAGCTCCCGGGAAGTTTCTGAGCGACTTTCGGCTCCGAAGGAGGAAGAGCTGTTGGGAGGAGCCTTGCACTTCTCGCTGCTACCTTTTTATTGGCTGCTCGGTGACTTTTGCAGCCTTGTCACTGATACAGGAAGAGACGGCGGAAAGCCTGGGAGAGCCACATTATTAATTAATGGAACAGCCCCTCGCGAAGAATCAGAAGCATCCTCCATGTTGGAGACTATCAGCCCCGAGATCGGGGGAGAGCGCCGGGGGTTCACGCGCACGTCGCTCACCGAGTAAAGCCTTCGCCCTCAAGTCTGGCCCCATCGCTCGGTTACACGATGGGCAAAGATTACAATTAAGATTTAATTTGTATTTTCTAAACGCGGGACGAGGAATCAGGAATAAAAAGTGTTTTTGATGTTTCCTTCTTCAAAATTAGAATTCTCCTGCCTAAAACAATATTTTGCTTGGGTGAAACGTCCATCTTGAAAAGGAAATACCTTTCTTGACAGCAGTTCTCTTTAATACTTAGAGAGGGCAATTCCAAGACTTAGCAGAGGAAAAGACCAAAAAAGTGTATGCTGGAAAACGTCATCATTCCCCTGGACCCCCAAATATTTAAAACTAAAAAAAACACACCTTTAGAAAGTAATACCTAGGATACGCCGTGAAGATAGTTTGCAAATGGTCAATGTTTAATTCACTCACTCAGAGTTTTAAAGATCGAAGATTTACTAGTGAAATTTCCCCCAAAACAACTTTTTCCCATATCTGGGAAATTCATTTCTGAAATGAATTTTAATGCACATAACACGTGACTTTTGAATTAAAGAGAATTGTCCAAACTCCAGATAACTCCAAATGTTTGCCAGCTTTGTTTTAAAAGGCCTTTTTTGCTACTGCCCTTGATAGTTGCTTATTTGTAGGCTACCATGAAAGAACTAATTTAAAAGACAGTAAGTTTGAAGAACAATTATTCAACAAAGGATGCAACTAACTACCAATACTATGAAATGATCATAGTTATAGAAACTCTTTGGGATCATCTTTTAAGTACACGTGAACATTGGAGCTGAAAATGTGTATATTCAAATCTCAAGAGTTAACCTTTTTTAAACTTCTCTCAAGAGCCCACAAAGTTAGATTCAAAAGGGGAACAAAGAGGGTAGATAATTTTCAACCACTATTGAAACATTCTCACAGTTCGAAATCCCAGCTTAACTATTAAGCTAAAAACATGAAATTTTCTCTGAACAAATAGTATTTATATTTCTTGTATCTCACTATTTGATAAGCTGTTAATTTTGTTAAATCCATGATCAAAAATAATAATGTTGATTTTATTGTAATAAATACAGATTTTTAAACAATTGGATTTTTTATACTAACTTAATATTAACATTTTATTCTACTTCATCAAAATACTATCATACTCAATTTCCCTACTGCTATACTCAAATTTCAATATTATCTCAATTCTGAGGTACATACATGGGATTTATTGTAATGGTTTGTGATACTTAATGTTATATACATAGATATTCATTGTTAACTCAGAATAATGTAAGTTTAGTAACTTACAATTAACATACTTAAAAGTTTAGTTTTGATGTGTTTATTATAATATTTAACCAAATTGATAGCATACCTAAGCTACCTCAAAATAACACTTTAAGTTATCCTACATATTTACTATTAAAAGCTTACCTAATATGTTATTTTTTTATTTTGGTATCATGATTACTTCCTTGCTTTATTAATAACTACTTCTAGGCTTTTGAGAGTGAAAAGTTCATTGCTGTATTCAGAAAGTAAAGGGCACTATTGTGAAATAAGACTTTGTGTAATAGCACAGGGTAAAAATTTTTGAAATATTATAACGCAAATTATGAAAGGTACGTTATCACACAAAAAGATAAGAGAAAAAATGAAATTGAAATAATTTTTAACAACTTAATTCAATTAAACATTTGTCAGACTCCTTTTATGTGCCAAGACACTGTACTAGCTCATGTAAGGAATATAATATAAATGTATCCTCGCCTCAAAAAATGTACACTCTTGTGGGGAAGAGATAATGTAAAGACAACCAATACAAGAACTTTGTGAATCCCAACGATCACAAGTAATGTAATACAAAAAGAGAAGTAGAAAGGATTAGAAGAAAATGTAGAAGGGGGACTGGGAAGTCATCCACAGGGCATGCATTGAAGGGCAACAGAAAGCTCATGTTCCAACGTATCCTGGCAAGTCTCAAGATGCACACCCCCGTGCACCCTCCTCAACCCTCCATTAGTCACCCCTCTGGATGAAGACACCAATGGCCCCTGATTAAATGTAAAATGTAAATATACTGGTTAGGTAGGACGTGTATTAATCTAGTATCATCAAGACATAGTTTAATATTTGAGAAGGTATACTGCCTTACACAGCTAAGACAAAACAAGACTATGAAATATAAATTTTAAAATCTTGTGCCAGAATAAATTCCCTGTATAATGACTGATTAAGAATGGCTTTACTTAGGTAACTTGGTGAGACAGCTGAAAGTAACCTTTGGGAACTCTTCTCTCATTTTGCAGCTGAGGTAACTAACTGAAGCTCGGGAACTTGAATCTTGGCCTCCTGATTCCTTGTCCAGGCTCTCGACCATGCTGCTCTTTCTTTGGATTCAGTAACATCTAACTTTCTTCTATGTCCTACTCTGTATCTATAAATGAGCTAAAACGCCATTTTAAATCCTTCTTAAACTGCTAAAATGTGCAAGGGGATAAGATATATTACTCATGATCAGAAATAATTTATTTTTGAGAATTATCCGGGAAAGCAATAGGGGTAGTAAGAATCTTAAATTCTTCAGTTAACACATTTAACAAATATAAACACTTTATGTTCCTTACCTCTAAGTAGTAGTTATTAAAGTATTTAGAGTAAAGCTGCCCTAAGTTCTTCCAATTAAGATAACTTCAACTTTGAAACTCTCTTCCTCCATATCTCTGACACCTGTCTCAACTCTTCTATGTTCTCTTTTTAATGTCTTTGTAAATAATTCATGGCATTTTACTATAAAAGATTTCTATATATTATTTTTTAGAAGCAATGAATATGTTTCATTTCATATCTGAAATCACCAGTCTAGTGTTAGGATAGTGATTCTAGAACTTAGATGACCATTGAAATCACCAAAGGGGTTTTTGAAAAATACTAATGTCTGGCCACACCCTAGACCAATTAAAACAGTCTCTGGGATAAGGACCTAAGTGTTTGGAGTTTAAAATTCTACGCACGCAATTCTAATGTACTTCCATGGTTGAGAACTACATGCTTAGAAGAGATTGAGTTATTAATGCAGAAGTGGTAATGTTTGCAGATTTGCATTTTTTAAATTCAACCCCTTGTGACTAAAGTAATGAATTATGGGATGGTAAGGGTTGAAAGAAGAGTCTATGGGCATCATCATTATCACAGTAATAGTTTACATTTAATGAATACTTGCAGCTTGTCAAGCAGTACGCTAAGGGCTTTAAATGAATCATCTCATGTAATTCTCACAACAAACTAAGTACTGTTTATAATTTCCATTTTACAGATGAAGCCATTGAGGCTCAGAGAGGTTAATTAAGTAGCATGCCCAAGGTCATACAGCCCAGAAGTAGAAAAACTCCAGTTATCAACTCCAGAGTCCAAGCTCCTTATTACTACCAGTATTCTATATTTCCATGGGATGATTTGCTAATATAGCTTAAATATAAATTGAAACAGGGAACTTGATCCAATGCCCTAAAAAATTTAAAACTTGTGATGATCAAGAATGTTTGTTAATCAGAAAAGTACTACAGAAAATCATGAAAACTTTAAAAAAATTATCTCAAGAGTTGGGAAAGCCTAAATGTAGCGCAAAGTCCAAAATTCATAAAAAAATTATATACAATAAAAATTTCTGCATCACAAAAGCTACCACAAACGTGAAAGACAAATATCAAACTGGAAGAAAATTATTTGCAACTCACTGATAGAGGGCTAATTTCCCTAATATATAATTTCCTATTTCTCTATCATATAAGCAATAATAAATTATAGTAACCCAAGAGAAAAAGAAAAGGAAATACAAATAGTTTTTAAAATATATAAACATTCTTAACCTCACTCATAATAAGAGAAATACAAATTAAAACTACACTGAGATGATATTTTTCATCCTTCAGATTTGCAAAAATCACCATCAAATATTGCCAAAGTCTGGGGAAACAGGCACAACCTCCATAAGGGGCAAATTGGCAATATTTAGCCAAAATTACAAATGCACACAGAAATTCAATCTTTAGGAAGATATCCTGCAAATATGACTTAACATAAGACTCTTTACTTTGGAACAGCATAATATTAAAATTAATGGAAATGTCCATAATTAAAAAATTATAATATGTCCATACAGTGGAATAGTATGAAGACATAAAAAAAATGAGGACAGATTAAAAATGGCGGCAGAGTAGGAGGATGCTGCATGGTCATGCTCCCAGGAACAAGCTGGAATTACAACTGAAATTCGAGAAGGCTTCCTGAATAATCAACAGAAAACTCACAGGAGTCCCTATTACCCAAGGACCGAAGGTGGAGCCGGCATAGAGACTGGAATATATCCCAAGAAACCAGAAACACCAATCAGAAAGGATATATGCACCCATATGTTCATAGCAGCACAATTCACCATAGCTAAGATCTGGAAACAGCCTAAGTGCCCATCAGTAGATGAATGGATTAGAAAACTGTGGTACATCTACACGATGGAATACTATGCTGCTGTAAAAAAGAAGGAACTCTTACAATTTGCAACGGCATGGATGGAGCTGGAGAGCATTATGCTAAGTGAAATAAGCCAGTCAATGAAGGAAAAATACCACATGATCTCACTCATTCATGGATAATAAAGACCATTACAAACTTTTGAACAATAATAGATACAGAGGCAGAGCTGCCTCAAACTGATTGTCAAACTGCGATTGTTAAGGGCGGGGGGAAAAAAAGGAGACATATGTAATACTCTTTGTAATACTTTAAGCAATAAAACAATTTTAAAAAATGAGGACATTTAAAGAAAAAAGCAAAATGCAGAAAAATATGTATGGAACTTAATATATACATATTTGCTTGATACATAAAATGCATTTGAAAGGTTATACAGGAAAATAACACACTGGTTGCCTCTGGGAAAAGAATTGCCAGGGGACAGGGATGACAGGGGACATTGTGGAAAGATGAATAAAAAATTTTAAGATACAGAGATTAGATGGTAAAGAGGCAGGTCAGGACAGATAGCTGATGTAATAAAGTCTTTCACGTCACAACTGGGAATAAGTTTAGAATTGCAAATAAAAACTAAAAAAATGTGTATTAAATATTTTATGGGACCTAGCATAGTGCCTTTCCCATGACAGGAGTCCAATACATATTTGTTGGATAGATGAATGGCTAGATAGATATATAAAATACAAATTTAATTTGATTACAGTAAAATAAATAGAGTCAGATGGTTGCTTTTATCTTAACATAGAAATGGAATTTAGATTACACATTTCCAAAAAACTATCTAAATTATTTATGGTAATGATTAGTTATATATCAATTTACAGAACAAATCCTACTAATGATCAGCCAAATTGATTTATTTTGTTTTTAAATTAAGACACACACACAGAAAAAAACAAGTAGAAGGTTTTGAAATGTAAATTACAGGGTTCTTTTTCTTATTTTTATCAACTGCCAAACTAATTTTTAAGTTTTAGTTGATGTTTAGTAAAATAGCTATCAGATAAAAGTTGCACTAATATTTTCCATCTCATTTACTGACTAAATTCTGTTAATCCTGGAGTATAAAATGGACTAGACTTTGTTTGCCTTTTACTTTGCCTTTAGGGTTCAGGCTATAACCTACTATCAGATATCATTTTAAATATTACTATACAATTTTTAAAATATTTTTTAAATATTTACTATAATGCCTAGAACATAGTAGGCACTCAAACCCTATTATAAAAAGTACAATGTCATTTCATTTTCTTATAACATTTAAATAATTAATATTTATAATATTCAATTAATAACATTAAATTAGGACCATATCTTTTTTCCTACCAGTTAGCTCTTGTGGTTGTAGCATGGTATTACCAAGTTTGACACCAATGACTAGCCCCATATTACAATGCATGCATCTATAAACTACCTGGCAATTATAGATGAAGAGAGAGAATTAACACAGTTGAAATTCAGAACCCATATCTGAATATATTGTTACTAATTTCTAATCTAAGAGCTCCTAGT